AGTTTGATAACCCTGAGGATAGTATTGAGGAGGAGCGCCGGCGACACCAGGAGGAGGAACGGGCTGAGGAAAACCGAACACCGGGTGAGACTGTGGAGGAGGAGGCGGATGATTTGCTACTCCTTGAAATGTACCGTAGTAATAGTTTGCCGGCAAAGGTTCGCCGGTGGCCGAAGAGGCCATGTTCTTCCCCTCTTCTTTGCTCATACTTTCCCCCGACAGAGATCTAGTAACAGTTTAGCCTTACCGCGATTGATTCGAATAGTCGTATCGCTTTTGACGCCGATTGTCAGAATCAGATCGGCGCGGCTACGTGATCGGCGATTTCGCGGTCTTCGGTTTCTTTGGGGGTAATATGTGCTGCTGGCAATTTGATTTTCAGCTTGGCTTAGCTGGTAAGTTTTACGCCGACACGTGGATATAAAAAATTATTTTGGATAAAAGACCAAAATTTTAAGAAGAGAAAAAAATATATATTACGTATTCATGTCTTCGCCGTCCAACTTTTGGTCCAAATATGTCTTTGTGCTCGACATATTCAACTCATTTTTCATTTTCCATATGAAATTGCGATATCATTTTAACGTAACATTTATATGAAAATGAAAAGATATTCGGACTCTAAACACCTAATCCGATCCATAAATCAGCTCCTTCTAAATTCACTATCCGACCTATTTTTAATAATTTTATTTAATTTTTTATTATTACGTAAATTCCAAAAATGAATAATTAATTAATAAAACATAAAAAAAATATATATATAAAATTAACACAAAAAATTTACAAATAAATATAAAAGAGGTTTTAATACACACTCCCTGCCTTCCAAAGGTACCTAGAGGACGGGCCAGACGCAGCAGAGCGACGACCAGGGAGCGGGTTCCCCACTGGAAGGGGGACAGGAGACGGCCATCTCAAGGCACACTAAATAAGGGCAAGCTACAAGAAAAGATATCAGTATCATTTGAATGAGAAGATACATCCAGAGCAACTAAAGTCGAATTAGAATATAAGGCTACGAACCCACTATTGTTTAATCAAGTAGTACTAAAACAAAACAGTGTGCAATAGATCAACAAAGTAGTCAGATGAATTAAACTCATCTGCTTTTAATAGATGAACATCTGAGAGACCATGAACTTCATACACTGGGGATTTCCTTACTAAGTTTTTCATGTCATCTCCAAGGATAGCAAAAAGTGGCAGCAAAAACTTCTTTCATACAATCCTATTAACCCAGTTAGCCTGTTGTGGATCGTCGGTGGAAATGATCTTCAAATTTATGCCAGCCCTGCATTATCAAGAAAAAGAATGTAAGTCAGTTCTCCAAATGTCTAAAACAAAGTCCCAACCAACCAAGGAGAAAAGACAGTGGACATGCTCCGCTAATTGCTTAGAATTATGTAAACAAATCATAGAGCGCATACACGTGGAAGATTAAATCATAGTAAGTTTCACCAGGTGCCCGTAAGTATGCACAAAATGATAAACAACAACAACTCAAAGGAAGGATTTTTAATAATCAGAACAAAGCAAGCATAAAGTAACTTAAAATGTAATTGAGATTTCATCACCGCACTTTAGGAGGTTTTCACGGTGTTGTTTATCTCTAGCAGTTTCCTTCTCAACTGGTAGCATCTCTCTGATCAGAACTAGGCTCTCTGAATAGTTGAAAATCACGGATGAACCTCTCTTAGCGTTATCGATGCACAATTTTGCCTTAACAGAACTAGTCACCATATCAAAGAGTAACAACACACCATTTTCATCCTCAGCAAGAATGTCACCATTCCTCAAACAACCAATAAGTCTATCAAACCCCAACACCAGTCCAACAGTGCATTTCTTACTCCAACCATCTTCATCGTGCATTACCCAAACATCAATGTTATGTTTGACTGTTTTCGCCCAGATTAACATACCAACGGTGTCCTCCAAATTCACAAGCTGCCACTGAGTTCCCACTGTTATTCCTGGCATGGGTAACTTGTCAAATACTTTCCTATCCACATCAAAATACACCAACACATCACGTAACCCATACTTATCCTCCAGTAGAGCAGTCCAATAGGGTACCCCATTAATAATCACATTGCAACAGGGCCTAATAACTCTAAACCCCACCTCATTTTTCACCTGCTTCCAACAGAAACTCTTCATCGAGCACATTTCCACTTCAACCGGAACCCTAGATTCTTCCCTGAAACAAAAAAGACTTAAGATAATGAAATCATTCTCTTGTGAATCGTACGCCAACCCTATGGATACACCAGCGTGCACTCCCAATAGGGGTTTCTTCTTTGGAAGTTGCACCGTCCTAAACTTCCTCATCACTGGGTTCCAAAGAGTGATTAAATCACCCCAAGGTGGCTTACAAAGACAAACAATGCCACTGCATGAACCCACAACGACCATATTGTAATAGAAGAACGGAAAAGGGTTATCGAGTTCGGTAACTGATGATTCCGGCGAGTCGACTAGAGAGAGTACATGATCAGTGTACTTGACATGGAGGGTGTGTATAAGAATGGGTGAAAATGTGGGTTTCAAAGAAGAGGAACGGTGTAAATGGGTGTCTATGAAGTTGGGTTTGGAAATGAGGTTCCTCCATGGCTTGCAAACACACCTGAATCGTAAAAGGGTTTTGACAGGGAGACGAGAAAGGATGTTAGAGATGATTTCTCTTGGAAAAATGCAGTTGGATGTTGGGTCTGGAGGTTTGCTCTTTGTTTTCTTGGAATTCCCTTTTCCTTTCCCTTTCCTTTTCCCATTTCCTTTGCCTTTAGCTGCCATCTTTGCTACAAAGGTGAAGACGAAAGGTACTTGTGAAATGACAAAACACAATTTTGGGGATGCTGACAGCTTTAGTTTTGACTCTTGGAGGGAAAAAAGTTGGCCAATTAAAAATTGGGAAAAGGGTTAAAACATCCCCCAATTTTTTTATTAAAATAAGGAATAGAGTTTTTAAACTGTTAAACGAGGATAAATTTGGTGAAATTAGTAATTTGAGGGGTAAAATTAACTTTACTTTAACGGTGAGGGTAAATTTAAATAATAAATTAAAATTGGGGGTATTTTTGACCCTTTTCACTTAAAAATTTCCAAGCGTGATGGAACTGAAAATTATGACGTGGACGTGTACGCATACTAGATGGGATAAGATTAAAAATAATGACCCAGGAGATAAGTATGAGTGATTTTCGTGGCGAATAAAATAAAGATAATCAGGCCGAAACAATTTGAAATGTGAAAAGGCTCCATTATAGAGTGATTCAAGTTGGCGATAGTAGGTTCGAGGGGTTGAGACATATAGAAAAAGTATTGACCATATGTGATTTGAAACTAGATATAACATCTTCAGACTCGGGAGGATAGAGCCCCATATATATGAGGATTTAGAGACCACTAACTTAGAAAAGGAAGTTAGGGGCAATTTGGTAGAAAAATTAACAGTGCACGGATTAATAATACATGAATTAATGGTGCATGCATGTATGATGTATTTTTTATCAAGTGTTTGGTTTATTACTTTTGATCCTAACTTGTGTTGTGGATTAAAACTCTACAAAAAGTTTATTTTCAATTATACTCTTGCATATATATTTTTATGGCCTTCTAAATAGTTAATACAACAATTTTGTTGTCATATTTGTTATTTTCTCACTTGAATTATTTGAGAGTAAACATTGTTATATTAAAAAATTAATCACTTAAAAATGTTTATTTTCAATTTAAAATAAATTGACCATCTACTTTAAAATCGAAAAGACGATAAACAATAGTAAAATCGAATGAATGATCTACATTTATATATAAAAGTTGCACGTTGTAGTTCTAATATGTAAGAAATTTATAAAATGTTTAAAATACAAACAATTAAAAAGCGGATACAAACCAACAAATAATATATTCAATTAAGATCACAAACGTTATATGGTGATATATTTGACTTTTCAATTAGTAAATGTTAAACAACTCACATTGTAAATATTATATTGCAATTATTTACTAATTAACAAACAACTCTTCCTAAATAATAATATTTGTAAGCAAATTTATTATAATAAATTTACTCCCACAAATATAAAACATAAAATTAAAAAAATAAATAAAATGATTTGAGGGATAACTTTGTCTTTATATAGATAATCTCATGATATTAAATTCAATATATTATTAATATCATCACACAAAAGGTATTAGTAAATAATAATACCTTTTTTTAACCATGTAAGGTGGATTATTAATCTAATAAATATTATTTGAGTTGAAAGCCTTTTTCAAAACTTTTCAATTTGTAAAGTAAAAGTAAGATTTTGGTACGTTTAATCCACATTGTTTTTCACTCATCAAGTATTTATTTAGTCATTTAGGTCAGTAAAATTTAAATAATGGATGATAATTAATTTTTTAAAATAAAGTTAAGACATTAAGAATAACGAAATATCTAATTCGTGCAATTTCTTATACTAAACTAATATTATTGAATATTTTCAAATAAAATCGATAGCAGGGGACAAGGCAATGACGATTCACTCGTCCATTTTCCTAAACCAGGTTTTTCAGGATATTGGTTGTGACGGTTGTTAAATTAAAATAATGTTATGATGTCCTATTTTATTTAATACTTTAGATTAAAACATTTGATATAAAGTTTGGTATCGTAACAATAATTTCGGTTAAAATTGAAATATTTTTTGACTTTTTTTCCGATTTTGATGAACCAAAACAAGTAGGATAAGAAAAAAAATGGGAAATGAAAATGTTTAGAGACTCGACAAGCATTTGTTTAATGATGTCGTTCAGATAATATAAATGAAAGTGCTTGCGAAACATTAGGACGGAGAAACCATTTATATATATAGAAGATGTATTCCTAGAGCATTATGCTTGTTATCTTTTAGGTCATTCAGAGCAAAACAGAATCAGATTCTGTTGTAAGCTCATCAAATAGATATAGAATATGATCTGATATGTCTAGTTTAGTACATTACCAAGAACGCTGCCTTTTGTTATATAATATGTATACGATATGGTGGAAGAATCCATATTAATTTACAGGTATCCGATACCACAAATGATATGAAATGCAAAAAGTAATTTCCTTTTAGGCGATGGAAGGTGTATTTTCTTTCTCGGCTGGTTTATCGCATTTTATTTGCTATATGCATACAACCTCCACCTAAGGGAACTCAAGAAAAAACAAGTGCTTAAATGAAAACATACTGGTCCTTTAGAAAGAATTCGATGGAGAGAAACCATTCTTTCCAGTACCATCCAAAGGCCTTCCATGTATTTGGTCCTCGACACATTTCTTCTCCCGGATGGAGAGAACTCATCAGCTCTAGTTGGTTAGTTTCCGTTTATCATTTCATGTCTTCATTGAGATTTCAATTCCTTAAACAACATAAAATTTGCAGGAAGAACGAAAGCTACAAAAGAGCAGTGATGGCCTGTTTTGTACAATCAGCATACTTGCTTGAACTTGACAGACAAGAAAATAGGTACGGCGTAGAAACTGCCCTTGCACCACAGTGGTGGACACCCTTTAAGTACAAATTGGTTGAACCCCTTGTAGATGAAAGAGATGGTTCGATATTTGCTGCGATTTTGGAATGGGATCAAGCAGCAGCCCTTGCTGATTTTATACCAGTAAGACCAACTGGTGCACCAAAAGTGGTATTAGCTATCAGAGGAACACTCTTGAAGAACCCCACAATAAGGAGAGACGTCGAGGATGATCTACGTTACTTAGCATGGGAAAGTCTCAGAGGATCCTTCAGATTCGAAAGACTATTATCGGCTCTAAAATCAATCATCTTCAACCAGCAAGGGAGCAAAAATGTGTCCATCACAGGGCACTCATTAGGAGCTGGTTTTGCTCTCGAGGTATACAAGACGTTAGCTGCTGAAGGAACTTATGTAGAAGCACATCTTTTCAATCCACCATCTGTTTCATTGGCCATGAGTTATAGAATCTTGAGTGGAAAAGCTGGATTTGTGTGGAAAAGGTTCAAATCAATGCTTCCTTCTAACTCAGAGTATCAAAGCAAGAGCATCGCGGAGGGTGCAGCTGAATCTACAGAATCAAGAATCACTTCAGAGCTTAAGCAAATGCTGCCTATGCCTCATTTGTATGTTAACACAAGTGACTACATATGCTGCTACTACAATTATTCAGATGGAGTACAAAACAGTAGTTTCAACATTGGTAATAAAGAGAGAGAAGTAAAACCTGGTGGAAATGCGCTAACCGGTGTAAAGCTTTTTGTGGTGTCAAAGGCAAAGCAGAGGTTTCTTGAGGCACATAGGCTTAAACAATGGTGGTCTGATGACTTGGAACTCCAAATGGCTCTCAATAACAGCATGCTAATAAGTAGGAAGCTCAACTCCTTGTACACCATTCAACCTCCAAAACAAACTCAAGGCTAGCTTCAAGTTTACTTGAATTTGGACTGGTAAAAAGATTGAAATTTCAAAACAAAAGATTGTAAGGCTTGAGATTCTGCATTTCACTTATGAATGAATTGAGTTACCTAGCTCTTACATAAAACATTTAGCTTGCTAAAATCAAATTTTCGATCTTGCATATAAATTTGGCTTGTGTTCAAAAATTTCTTCTTGTTTATCGTGACCACAAAAGCAATCACATCTTTAACCGTGTTAATGCATGCATTAGAATTCTCTTGCTAATACCAAATAGGTTGAAAAAAGTTCACGAAACAATATATTTGTAGTATATAACATTATGTAACGATGAAAAATCACATAATTATTCAAATTTATATTCAGCACAGCAATATAGTACACATTCTGTCAAAACCCACAGGTCTCTGTTGAGTCCTCAGTTCTGTCACAAAAGACAAATACATGCTCTGATTTTGGCAACCCTAAAACCCTTCTTCTTTGTCAAGATTGTTACTGTGATTTCGCAAAAAACCCTTTTTCCTGCTTCTGAGATGCCTCCTAAAGGCAAAGGAAATGGGAAGAAGAAAGGTAAAGGTAAAGGAAAAGGAAAAGGAGCTTCAAAAGAAACAAAATGCAGAGCTGCAGCAGAATCAGAACCAACTTCTCACTTCCATTTCCCAAGAGAAATCATCTCTAACATCCTTTCCCGTCTCCCTGTAAAAACCCTTTTACGATTCAGGTGTGTTAGCAAGCAATGGCGAAACCTCATTTCCAAACCCAACTTCATCGCCTCCCATTTCCGTCACTCTTCTTCTTTGCAGCTCTCCGGTTCATCTATTCTCATAGGCAGCCGTCATCACGAGTCTAATCATCATGTAGTCTCACTATACAACCCGCCGGAATCAGTTGTCCAGGTGGACAGCCCTTTCCCCTGTTTCTTCCCCAATATGTACATTGTGGGTCCTTGCCATGGCTTTATCTGCCTTTTTAATCCACCATGGGGTGAACTGATTACCCTTTGGAACCCGTCGATGAGGAAGTATAAGATGGTGGAGCTCACTGATAGCTTGCCCAGTCCAGGACTGCACTTTTTGACGTCTATTGGTATGGCTTTTGATTACCAACATAACGAATTGTTGATCTTGAGAATCTTTTGTGTGGGAATAATGTTTGAAGTCCCGAATCACGTTGAGGTGTATTCGAGTAAGAGTGGGAAATGGAAGAAGCTGAAAAATGAGATGATTTTTCATATTGTTGAGTTTACTTGCAATGTGATCGTTAAAGGGGTTGCATATTGGTTGGTTTGTATGCCTGATAAGTTCGGATCGCGTGCTGTGTTTGTGCGATTTGATGTGGGGAAACTAGTGTTTGAGAAGTTACCTTCGATAGGAAGGCGTAAGAAACATCAATATCTTGTGGAATTGGAGGGTTCTCTTTGTATGTTAGACTGGGATCATAAAGATGATTGTCATATGGATGTTTGGGTAATGGATGATGTTGATGGTTGGAGTAAGAAATACAGTGTTGGACCTTTAGTCGGATTTGACCGAATCTTGGGTTGTTTGAGGAATGGTGACATTGTAGTTAAGAATGAAAATGGAGTCATATTCATTTGTGATCCCATAACTAATTCAGTCAAGGAAAATTTCAGCATTGATAATAGTAAGGATGAATCATATGTGGTTGTTGATTATTCAGAGAGCCTATTTCTGATCGGAGGGATGCTACCTGTTAAGAAGCAAGATGCTCAAGATAAATTAGCGCGCAAAAAAGTCACAAGGTTTGATGATCAATTTATCATTATAATCCGTTTATGCGACTACATATACATATATTTACTTGCTATGTGTAGGTTCTCAGCTCCCACTTTTAGATGTTGTCATTGCTTCAGAAGTTTTCTTATCTCATGTGCACGTGTACGTGTTATACAGGCACTCGAGGGACTTAGCACATTAATTCTGATGTGTTAATTACTGTCTGAACTAAGTCTACTGATTACTTTAGTTAATTCTGTTCAACTGGTTGAGATGCTTGTGTATTTCTAACCATCGTATTATCCTATAACATAGACAAATTAATTGAAATGACAAAAAGAAGAAGAAGAGAAGATAGAGAATCCGTTGAGAAGTTAACATGTATCCTAGGTATTCGTACTTCCATAATAGCATTGGTGCAAAGGTCCCCAACAAATGGACTTGTGGTTGTAACAAACTGATTTGTGAACTAGTCGAGACACATGCTGGCTTAGCCAATAGCACTATTTAAGAAAACATTGGTCCAATTCTATTGATCTTGCGGAAGAGTCTTTGAAATTTAATAAAAAGGATGAACACATACTCAGAACTGTATTCCCCTGGTCTTGGCGCTTTTAAGCTGAACTTTGAATCAATAATGATACGTGTGAAATACTAACAGAAGAACATATGGAATTTTTGACATATATGGACCTTTGTTCATTTCATTTTTTTTCTTTTGTCATTTGTCATTCTCGAAAACAGAAGAATGTACGCAACCTGGATTATGTCATTCTTGTCACAAGAAAATAGTAATACCATATCGATCCTGTCGAGCTATGATAACTTTTAGCAAGGGAAACTTAGAAAATCGACTCCTGAACTGGTTTACTTATCTTCTATGAGACAATTGTTTCCCCCTCCCCTCTTATTACTGATGAAAGTATTAGAACATTTGTTGCCTTTATTCAATTGGTAATTTCCTCCTTTGTTAATTTGTCTTTCAATCTTTGAACTATGAATGGACTGGTCATAATGTTGGCATCTGTATACAGTGTGGAGTGTGTGTGAATGATATCAAGCACGGCTAGGAAGAGAATGAGAGCGCGGAAGTAGCTCCTTTAGTATTACTTTGTCGATAATATGGAAAGAGTGTTCGCTAGAGCTGCATAGTATTTCTATTCGTAACAACACAGGGTTTTTTGTTTTAGTAGTTCAAATATTGCTGTTAGTGTAGACTGTAGATGCTAATAGTAAAGAAAAACATGCTTTCTTGTAGGATTTCTACCTTCTGCATACATCTTAAATGTTGAATTTTCACATTACATAGATAACTTTTAACTCATTTTGAGAAACTTACAAAGTTTAGTTTTGTTGTTTGATGCTACAGGGATTGCTTAAAGTTCTTGATGGGACAACCCTCAGAAATCATCATTCCTTGATTGCTCCTTTTTGGCTAACCTGAGAGATGTCATGAAGAACACTTTTTTAGTTTTTTGGTGAATTCATGTTTGTGGTATAATACTTTTTTGAGTTCCAAACATCGTTCCCTTTCTTCTTTCACCCAATGTTTGCCCCTGTTCTTCTTTTTATTTTGTAGTTATTTGCATGAACTGGTCTCACTGTTTCGTGTGTATTTTCGTCTTCCTTCTTTATTGGCTATGTATTGTTTCATATTTTTTTTCTTTTTTAGATTTATATTGACTATGAATTCTTTTAAGTATGAATTATCAGTTATGTTGTGTTCATCTTAATTTAAGAAAATATTATGTCACAACATACATATAAAAATAGATTTGAAAAAATAGTGATTGATCATAAAATAATTTTGTATAAAAATGTTTGATATTTTATATTACGATAAAACTTTTATAAGATACTAGATACTTTCATAAGACAACAACTATATCACATGGTATGCGACAAAAACTTTTATAAGATACTAGATACTTTAATTGATGAACATAATAGTTTGCCGGTTCGGTGTACACGTAAATTTCATTTTGTTTGAATTACCCTCCCGAACGTGTTTATTCATCCAATGCGTGCACCTTTTCTGTCCACCTGGCGTAGAAATTGAAATCACACTCTACTAGGCACGTGAGGGGTGTGATATTTTGTCACTTCATAAAGCTACAACAGTAAAAAAAAAAAAAGTAAAATCTCTATTTTCTTAATATTGACCGGCCGCAGACGACATCACCGTCGTCATCGTCATCATTATTGAAGCCCAACGGCCAGTTCTTCGGGTAGCAGAGTTGTTTCTCATCGTTAAAATGAATAAGAATTCCGATTCAGCTGATTGAGCAAGGTGAGAGGAGATGGAGTGTTATGTGAGCTGGAAGAAACCGTGTTTTTTTTGCGGCGGAAAGAAAGTTAGAGTGAAGAATTGATTTTGCATCGGAAAGAGAGATGAGAAGAGGAGATACAGTGGTTGGTGGTGGAGATTGACGTCGACCGGAAAAGGAGTTGGAGTATGATATTTATTTTTTGTCATTTTAATTTATCTAGGTGGCTATTATTTATCTAGGTGGAAATCCACATCATCACTATTTTTGCCAGCTGATGCGCGTGTGTAGTCACACTAGGAACAACAGACAAAAAGGTGTACGCGATAGTGGAATAAACAAGTTTGAGAGGGTAATTAAAACAGAATATAGTTTAAGTGTACACCAAATAAAAAGCTTCAAGTTCAGGGGAGTGATGAATACTTTAACCCACAAATTAAAGAAAAATACATAAACAAAATATCTCCATAAAAGAATTAGTAAACATACACGATACCGTGGACAAGATCAAAATCTTCGAGCTAGATTTATGCTTCGACCATGAAGTTTGCATTGATAGTAAGTCACCATGTTTGCATCGCAGTTTCACTCGCAACATCGGATCATTCTCATCATAACAAATACGATTGAACATCGTATTTGATATTTTTCAATCAAAAACTAATCACAAAATTGAGAAGAAATTAAACCATAAAAAACTTTAAATTAACGTTTCTACGGGAAATTAAAAGATAAAAAGATGAATTCCTACCTTATTTTCTTGAAGAAGATGATGAAGTCGTCAAATAGAGAGCACCAACATTGTTCTTAATATGAAAATCAAAATATTAGGGCTACCAATGGCTATTTTGGGTTTAAATTAGGGAAGATGACATAAATTGATTAAACAATTAATAATAAAGAAAAAAAATGACATGTGGCACTTTTAAACTGGTCAATGAAAGTGAAAGCTGGTCCATGACGCGTCTAACGTTCGTGTAAACATCCCAGAAAAGGGAATGGATAAAAATGACCCATTTACAACGATATATAGTTGTTAAGTAGGGTGATAGAAACTTTGAAAGTATAGGTGTCTTTATGCAAAAATTTGACAATTTTGATGGTGTCTTCATGTCTTTTTTCTTTAAATAACGAAAATATGTGACAATTTTGCTCCCTTTTAATGGTTCACTAACACCATTATTTTTGTATCTATACACTGGTGGATAGAATCATTTTTTCTCGACACTACGATTGAAATAGAAGTATAATTTCAAATAGAACTATTATTTTTGTGTAATATTTTTCCCTTTCAAATATATATAATAAGTTCAATTGTTGTCCAATATAATACATTGTACCTTTAACTTTTTATTTTAATAATTATCTATAAAAAAAATTTAAAAAAAACTTTAAAATGATATTTGTAAAATAAATGGTAGTGCATAATTTTGTACATGTTAAAATAGAATATTCGTTCAATTTTTTTCCACCCTTTTAAATTTTATTTATCTCTTTACCAACTATTATTCATTTATTGGGAAAATTAATATCTTGAGTCAATATTCATTTGATTTCCCAAAAATATGAAATAGTACCACTTTCGGCAAATAAAAGGATAAATTATAAAATTAAAGTAAAGATGATTGGTTGAAGGATAAATGATAAGATGTTATAATTATTATTTTTTTCATTATTAATAATTTTTATTACGTAATATTACATATAAGATAATATCTTATTTTAATTTTAAAGGTTAATAAATTTTAAAATATTATTTTATAAATTATATGACACTCACATAATATTCTTGCGCTGCGTAAATAATTTTACTACTATATCGTATAAAGATATATGTTAAAACGAATTGATATATTAATAAATATTAAAATTGAATTATGGGTCTGCCTATGTCAGAACCATGTGTCCGTACAGTGAAAGGGATTTAGACTTGCTAACAACAACTACTCCAATTATTATGTACGACTTATTTACTTTTAATTAAAATGTCATATTTGTCTTTAAATATAGTACAAACACTATTTAATATCTCCAATTATTAATAATGTATAATTAATTATGTATCAATTATAATTTTATCCCCTTCAACTAACCAAAAACTGTACTTTTTTTTATTTGATATTAATTGAATTTATGAGATAATATACATATTAAGAAAAAATTTATAAATATAATTTAAATCATATTTTTTTGACCTAGTTTGACTTAAAACGGAGTTTAAGAAAAGATTGAAGACTTTTTAATCTTGTGGTTCTAAATTAAAGTTACGTTAAATATATCAAAATGCCCTTTAATATTGTGGTCTTAAACATGTTACGTAGAAAGTTAAAATGTTGCCAAAAAAGAAAAGAAATCATTTTTTTAAACAAACTAAAAAGAATATTCTTTTTGAAACGAAGGGAGTATATATTTTATTTTTATTCTTTGTGAATCATAAATTTAAATATATTTATAATAGTGAAATTTATCTCTAAAAAATATGAAACTGCAATTAGATGAGTGTGTATTCCTATCTTTATCCAGAAAAAATTATCTAAAATATTGTCAACTAAAATCATCATTAAGTTGTCGTAAGTTGACTATTTTAATTTGTGGGGTACGTAATTGAAAAATAACGACCACGATGATAACTATATACCATCTCAAATGTATAATGTATATAAAATATTATCCAAAATTATTTATATCAATAATATATAACTTGTACAATTTATTTATTAATTATATATCCAATATATACGTATGATGTTATGTCATGTAACATGATTTTATAGGCACACATTATTTATTTGGAAGTAAATGATGTAATGTGCCTATATATTAATTATCAATTTGTGCTACCTTATAATTAGGTCCCCTACACTCTTGAAATTTAATTACAAAATGATATAGTGGGTGCACCTCATAGATATAGATCAAGATTATAATCCAAACAAATTAGGCAAGTAAGATTTCTCAAGAAAATTCATATAACAAATAATAAATAGTATTTCACTATATGTGACGCTAAATCATTTCCTTTATCTGATGTATCATTAAAAATATTAAAAACATTGCTATATTTCCTAGCCTTCAAAAGTCAAATAAAGGGAAACACCAAATTTAACGTATCCTCCAATTTAATATTTTTTTCGTCTAATATTAATTGTCATATTTTTAATTTTTAGCGTCAAATTATAAAAATATTGATTAATGTTGTAGAATATATTTCTTCAGCATTGATATATAAAAAATAGCAATGAATAGTAATTTTCGTATAGTTTTTGAATATCTAAATTTTTTATTTAAAAAATTAAATTAATGTAATCTGATTTAACTTAAAAAAATAAATCAAATTAACTTTTGAAAAATATAATAAAACAAATAAAAATAACATCGGAAATAAAATATTACCCCCTAATTATTTATTTATTATTGGAGATTGGACCCTCCCATCTTTTTATCTCTGTCAAGTTTGCAATATTTTGCCATGCTTCTTTATAGGGCAGAATTTTATTTACTTAATTCTTACAAAACAATCAAATCTGTGGCAGAGACAGCAGGGATAGAATACATAATCTCAAGTAATTTTTACAATTTCTTATAACTGTTATATTGAATCTTGAACTTGTACTAAAAAAATGTCAATTTTTATATATATATTTATTAAATTAAATTTTATATATATATATATATATAGTTTTTTGACGAAACGTATCGCTTTATAGCCTTGCCTTAGGTAGCTTCGCCCTTTAAGAACAATGAAACCTTCTCTCAATAATGTTGGTCCATCTCTAGGAAGTATATATCTACTTTAGTGAGTAACTTCAAACTTTCGAAAGAGTTTCACTTTCGAAATCTCTGATAAGAATTTAATTTTAATATAAATAGAAATAAAAAAAATATTTGAATTTGCAATACTCAATTTATTTGTATTTAATAGATATTTTTTTTGGCATTAAAGTTGTATATTGCATGTGATAAGTTCTACCATGCATTAAATACGTAGATCACAAATTTTATAAATCTGAGACGCATCAATCACAATAGTTATCAAATTTATTGCAGCCATTGTCCGTTTGGTGAGTTAACTGATTTTTATGTCTATAAAATTAGTATAATTTTTAATATTAGAAATGGAGTCAAAATTGAAATTTTATAATACCGTTTGATAGGATGTATTAATTAATTTAATTTTTTTTTTATTTAGTAAGATTATCTGATATTCAGATAATCAAGATATGTATTAGTTATTATGAAATTTGTAGCAAATCATAATATTAACAAAGTTATTAATAAATGGATAACATGAATAAAGACATAATTATTGTCTTTAATACACTAAATATATAATTATCGACTTATTCACCTCATCATTATTAATATATTGTATTCAATGTTGTTATTCTTATACGTTTCTCATACGATTCAAATGAATTCTAAATCTAAAGACAAGACCAAGAATCAGTTAATTAATTTTTGAACAACAATTTTATGTATATTAGATTGTTTAATTTTATATATACTCATTATTGTTCCTCAATTATTATTTTTAATTTTTTTGCAATGTAATTTTAATCTTTAAAAACACTCAACTGTGCTTCACATGTATGTTATAAAAAACAAAACTTTCTCAGTTATGTCCCATAATTGTCTCTCAATTTTATGTTATAAAAAAAAAAAGAAAACTTTCTATATTCCTTTAAGTCCCATAATTGTCCCTCAATTTTTTCTTTTTGTTACTTTATTATACTATAATGATTAACGAGAATCTCACAAGGCCATAATAAGAAAGTATAACTTATGATAGTTTCTATAAATATATAATGGCAATTTTAGAAAGAAATCTAATGCATCAATAAGGATAGTGATTGAAAGGTAATGATAATCTTAAAAGAAATGTAATCCATTAATAATAACAATTGTAATGAAATAGTAAGTATTTTTTTATTTTTAATTATAAGTCTCGCGTGGACAGAACACCACCGTATCAAACAAAGAAATTTGATTTAGGATTAATTAGTAAAACAAAATATACACTAATTAATTATAATTAAAGAATATAAGTTTTAATTAGTTCGAATCACAGGTCATGTTCACGTATATTTTAAAAACTTTTTTAGGACAGATACGTACACTAATTACATTTCCAGCTCATTTTATATGGAGGGTGGCCTACTTATAACTAATATATATCCACATATATAACCACTTCGTTGTCACAAATTCAAAAATTGATTTTTACACAATTTTCTTTAGCAATATATGATGTGAAAGCTTTTAAATCATTGTTTTAACGATTAATTCAACTTAAATGAATTTAACCTTTACAATTCTTTATCACAAAATTCAACATTTGCTAGTTCTTAATAATCAGGAGTATAAACCATATTCTCATGAATGATGTGTATATCTGAATTCAACATTTGAATATAACTCAGTAATATGATAATTGATATGGAAAAATATTTCAAAGACCAACATTACATTCAAAGTTAAAAAAAACAATTTATCAATATCTAACTTGTTCACACAACCAAAAATCGACCTTAACATTAGGAGTTATGTATTAGGTCAAAAATCAGATCCTGAGTGAAAATTTAGGGTCGAAGTTAAGAGTTGAGTCAAATTCAGAAATGAGGTCAAGATTAGATTCCAAATGGGGTAGGGTTATGAGTCGTGCCACAGTTAAAATTTGGATTTCGAGTTGAGAAATATGATCAAAGTCAAGAGTTGAGTCTTGAATCATAAGATCAAGGTTCTACGATTGAGTTCAAAGCTAAGCCTCATGTTGGGGCGAGTCAAGGGTCTAGAAAATATTTTATTCTACATAAAATAATTAATTTTCTTGAATTTGAGAAAAATATTTATTTTTAAATCTGAACAAAATCTAAAAACATCTAACATTTTCCTTTCACACTACCAACACACCTTAGATATTCTCTCAATGTCCAAATTGTACTCATCTTCTAATTAACGGGTCAAAGATGAATTCAAAAAGTCTAAACTTTATCCATTTAAAAATTATTCCCCATACAATCAAATATAAATACAAACAATTTATAAGCCATTAGCTCTTGTTCATAACACTATTCATGATATATATGACAAAATAAGTAGTCCAATAATTAAAAGGAATTTCTTTTATTAATCTTCCACACAATCCCAAATATTTGTCACTCCATCAATTGCTCCAACAAACATTTTAAAAGAATCTTGATCATTTGATCAAGTTACGTGTATTCACACACTAAAATTTAAAATTAAAAAAAAAAACAAGGAAAAAAATAGAAAAATAATTAAAATGGGGCCAAATTGATTATTTTTTTAAAAAATGGGCAATCATCGTGTGCACCTGTGTGCAAGGAAAACTTTGCAATCATCCTTTGGAGCAATGGTTGGAATATACGAGATGTCATCGCAGCCGTCGGTTTTGTGTCTCTTGAAATCAATCAGAGCCGTAAACATAGCAATGAAAAGCATCAAGTGGTTAATAGCATACTTCTGGCCGACACACGCATGGGGCCCAGCACCAAATGCTAGAAAGTTCTTTTTGTAAACCCGCTCCTCTTGTCTCTCCTCCATGAACCGGTCCGGTTCAAATTTCTCCGGTTCAGGAAAACCCTGAAATGATGAATCAAAAACCGACGGGAACACAATTGTTCCTTTTGGGATAACGTAATCTTCGGTTAACCGGAATTCTTCGCCGGCAATATGTGGCACCATTGTCGCCGGAGCTCTGATTCTGATTATCTCACGCGCCACCGCTTCCAGGTACTTCATTTCCCTGAGCATTTCCGCCGTCAGCGGCTCCTCAGATTCTGGCGACCAGAATCTCGCTACATCCGACCGAACTTTCTCCAGAACTTGTGGGTGAGAATCTAGAAGCACGATTGCCCATAACAGAGCAGAAGTAGAAGCATCTTGAGCAGCAAAGAGGAAGTCGAACAGGTAACCTCCAAGTTCCTTGTTACTGTACTGAAATGGCTTTTGTAATCCATTGATCTTAGCTTCGTTAATCTCTCTTAAATTTTCCTGCATCCAGAAATCAATCAAGCATGTGGGTTCTTCTTCGTTTTTCATCTTGTTTAAGCTTTGTTCCACACAAACCGAAAGGGTGTCAACTAATCTCCCAACTGCTAATCTAGCATTTCTGAAGGCAAAACCCGGTAAATCAACAGGAAGTTTCATTAACCCAACATTGAAGTAATTGTAATCAACATTAAATCTCTTTCTCGATTCTCCATCCAAGTATGGACCAACGAACACAGTCTGAGAAGTATCCAAGTTCATATCCCTGCAAAGTAGACGAAGCGGGATTGGGGTGTTAGGGGATTTGGATGCTTCATCTAACCAGGACTTGAAGTGTTTGATAATAATCCTCTGTTGAATATCAGTGTAAGTTCCCAGAGCTTTAGGGGTAAAATTTGGGGCAATTCGTCGGCGAAGGTCTTTATGTTCTTGCCCAAACATGTAAATCAAGTTATGTTCGCCGAATAGCTTTTTCCCAAAAGGGTGACCGATAAGATGGAAAGCGTCAGGGCGGACATTGGCAAAGACCTTATGAGAGAGGTCAGTTGAGTGGATGTAAAGAATGAACTTACCTATGATGTAGTTAACAGAAAAACCATGGCTAGTAGACTTAGCTAAAGCTGATTGAAGGTCCCAGAATTTAGTTGGATTTGTGACTAAGGGAATTACGTTGCCAAGGAAGGGGAATACAAGAGTTGGGCCAGGAAGAAAACGCTTCTTCTTGATGTAAGAGATCTGTTCAAGAAGAAGTAAAAAAGCTATGAAAGAAATGAAATAAGGTATCCATGGAGATAACAAACCCCAAATGGATGCCATGTGATGAAGTACCGTACAATATAGCTCTCTTCTTCTTCTTCTTCTTCCTTAGCCCTCCACCGGAAACTGTTCGATAATATGGATTTGAATGGTGTGGTTAGGGTTTATATAGTAAGATGGAAGAAGGAAGAAGGGTCAATATATGAAGGTTGGATTGGTGGGTCAAACAAGAAAACCGAAAGAGAAAAAATATAGTGAAAATTGTGCAACAAGTTGGAAAACGTGGAAGAAGAAAAAACCAAACAGACCAAATCTGAATTATATTAGGCAGAAATTTCAGAGTCTCATTTAACCTCTTTACAGGTAGTTTCAACTTTTGGAGGAGGAGAAAGTGTGGTATATTCGATATAAGGAAAGCGGAAAAACGAATCAATTGACTCTGGGTAAAGCTTTAGTACACATTAGAGTCGAGCAATGTTTATGACATTTAACAGTCGTTTGATCCTGAAATTATTATACCTTATGCTAAACGACTCGTAAGGGGGAATAGAGAATGATTATTTAGGGTTGGTGGGGTTGAAATCCAGCTGGTGATACTAGTAGTAGTGGTCCAGTGGAGGATTCCAAGACACTTGCAAAGAGACAAAAGCAAATATTATATGGGGAATTTGCTCTTCTCATTTGAATCTCTCTGTCCCAAAATCATTTTAACCTATTGAACCTTATGGGGACAGTTTGCACACCTCGAGTCCATCGGACATTTCATTGCCTTTCACCAATTCAAGTATCGAATAATTATGTGCTCAACTATAAATTTTCTAAGGTTGGAATCGGAGTAGTAAATTTGTTTGGCTTTGTAAATTACACGAGTATTTATAGAAATCGGGTTGAATATCATAAACAGATAAAACTTATCAAATTTATATTTAGACTCCTTAACTATAGGTGTCGCACCTGATTTTTGATTGAATCTCAAACATGACATGTGAAAAATAAACTAAAAGTTTGATCGGAAAAGGAGGCTGGCTAAGTTTCTTGGACTATGCAAGGATAAAGACAATCAATAGCCCCTCACACTAAAATTTTGGGTTTTCATGCGTATAAAATGGAAATTAAGAAATGTGTGTAATAGTTACAGTTAGAATATAAATCAAGTATTAGGTAGAACAATTAGTTAGCAAAGGAGATGAAGAATTTACAGGTTCTAAATACTTTTTTGAAAACAAAAAACACAACAATGGCACCTTATTTCCTTCCCATTTAACAAATATTGCAATCAGCATACCAACGAGACGCAAAAAACCATGGAATATTCTCAACCAGCTAACAGAATGATAGTAGGCTAAAATTCATATTTCTCATAATTGTTTCACAAATTTAACCACGAAAAAAGAAGCAAAATTTATAGGCAAAGCCAACATCAGTAGAACTACATAGTAGAGGTGAATAAGATTCAAGTCCATATCAAAAATAACACCTGCAGCATTCTCAACAAGCCTTACAGCCTTCGTCCTCTCCTACCACCCTTTCTGCGAGTGCTATCAGTAGGAATTGGAGTCACGTCCTCTGCAAGATAATTTACAAAGTTATGTGATCATCAACATTGAAGTGTTTCTCACAAGGCTTAGCTGACACACAAAAGCTAATCATTACCTATACGACCAATTTTCATTCCTGAACGAGCAAGAGCCCTGAGAGCAGACTGAGCACCAGGTCCAGGTGTTTTGGTCTTGTTTCCACCAGTGGCTCGAAGCTTGATGTGAAGTGCATTGATGCCAAGCTCCTGTACTCAAAAAGACAAGACCCAAAAGAGTGAGCAGAATGAAACACATTACTCAACTGATGGTCGATGGTATTGGAATGAGAACTAAATATAAGCTACAACCTTGCATCTCTGAGAAACATCTTGTGCGGCAAGCATAGCAGCATATGGGGAAGATTCATCCCTATCAGCTTTGACCTTCATTCCACCTATTAGAAACAGGTGACACCGGAAATTTATTACAACTCTTCCCAATAAACAACTAAGACAAGGGTAAAGAGCAGGAATATAGATGAGCTTTGGAATCGTTAAAACATCAACAGAAAACCTAGCAACTTCTCAAGTTGGATAATTGGTGCACCAGTATTGACATTTAGAAAGCAAAAGTTCTTAATGTCCACAAGAAATTTAAATAGGGCTGCAATGACAAAGAAAGTAACAGCACAAATTTGATCAAATAGAAATTTACCATATGGTATTGTTTAGAAATGTTATAAAGAATTTGAAGTAGAGCTCAAATGGTTACAATAATAACAGGGCTTATAATCCAGAAATTGCTGAAATTCAATAGATAAAAGCTTTGACGTCCTGATACTAGGTAAAAGAATACAAAAGCTAATCACCAAAAATGAGCTTCAGTAGAAGAGAATTATGGGAATAAACATATCTATATTGAAGATATAAAGGGTGTATGCAAGGAAGAATCAGGATTTAAGTAGCGCAAATTCAGTAGCTAATGAATCAAAGATAACAGGCTACTAGACAAAAAGATAAAAAGAAGTGCGAAGACAAAAACAATTAGGCAAAACAAAAGAACTTGTGATGTTCAACATAACCAGTGATATCTATTCAATTTCCGAACATAACATAGCACTATGGCGCATGATGCTTGAAACTAGCAGTAGAAGCCAAGAACTAACACCAAACCTAGAAATGTCGTGAACATCAACTAGAGCATAGTAACACATTATAGACTATTTTAAATTAAACAATTCTCTGATAAAATGTGACAGTAATTATAAGTGAAACCAATGCAACCTAACTCCCACTGAAACCCAAAACGTGACTCTGCCATGCCCAGCAAGGATAGCATTAAGGTATACAACATTATCCAGTGCAATCACAATAATAACATGTGCTTTCTCATGTTACGTGATTGCATTAAGGTACAAATCAAATAATATAAGGGAAAAAATGGAAAAGATGTCACTCAGATGGCTTTTTTGTTGTCAAAATAGAGCTTACAATTGCATGTCGTAACTCTACATGAATAAAAGGCAAGTAAAAGCCAGATTATGTAAAATTTGATCCCTTAATTTATCAACCCCTCAACATATACGCCATGTACCAAGATAATCAAATTTATGTAAGCCTACTCTGTAAAAAGATGTAGTCCTTACCAGTAATACGAACCATTGTTTCCCGTCCAGACAAATCAGTCACGTGCTGCAGTCCAAAAACAAAGTATGTAACTAGTTGAGACAACTTACTGAGACAATAAATAATAATGGATACATTGGTTACCACATACAATGAAAGTGTCATTGAATGATGCAAAAATGTGAGCGACACCAAAAACAAGCTCTCCCTCTCTCACAGAAGGACCAAGAGTAACAGTCTCTTCCTTTGGCTCCCTAGTCCTCCTCTTCGACTGCAAGGCCAGGCAATTAACATTACAACAAAATAGATATCGAAAGAAAGCTCAACACTGATCATTCTTTCCTTCACTTATCCCACAAAGCAAAACAACAATTTCCTTTTAAAAAGTAAATCTAACAAAGGGCAGATCCACCATAGAAGCTAACTGTTCACCAGAACACTCTATATCTCTGTCAAAAAAGTTGAACTAAATATGTATAAATAATCAATAAAGAACCCACTAAACCAAATGGATTTTGGCCTTTAACCATAAACTTAAAATACTGATTAAGCAATCTGACTATGTAACAAGGTTCAACAAGGCTCACTTATAGAGTTCATGCATCACTTCTAAACCAACTACAGCTTGTCCAAATTCTTTAATTTAGAAGTCATAAGCTTCAACAATTTGGTTTACAGAGCAAAACTTTAATCAACCATTATCTACAGCTAAAATATGATGTATCCAGTTTGTATCATTTTTCAAAGTGAAGTATCCAGATAGTCTACTGAGTTATGTTCCAATTCGACCGATCATTGTTCTAAACTACTGATATCTAAATGTTATAAGCAAGAGATAGAAACAATGGGGACCATGTCTTTAAGCAAGATCAAAACAATAACAGAGGATAAACAGATATTCACTAGGAAAGATATAATCTTTTTTTCAGAAATCTAGAAGAATAACTAATCTAAGCATACCCAGGTAACTCTATGGATTAAATTGAAGCTATCCTAAAGATAAAAGCAGCAAATAACCTCAAATTCATCCACAATATTCAAGGAAAACTATTATATTCGATAGATTTCATTACCATGGTGTTGTTTTTGTTACTTCTGCTGAAACGGCGATGTTGAATACGGAGGAGATTGAGTTCAGAGAAGGCGATTTGGATTCAGCTGCAGCTTTATATGTAGCAAGACGGCTTTTAGGGTTTCAGCATCAAACTTAAAAAATAAAATTTTCTAAAACAACCCCCCACATGTTTCTGATAATGTTCAATTGAATCATTCTCTTTTTTTAAAAAATCCAAATTGCACCATTACTTCAAAAACTACCCTTTCTACCTCAAATTATCTTGTCTTATTTATTTATTTTTAAAAAAGAGAAGATTATTTGTTACGATAACGTGTTTAAGATGATAAGATTCGACTAGATGCGTCAAATACATATTAATGGTTGTTTGAGTTGAATTTAATCAAATCAATTATAAGATTATAGAAATAAAATCATAATGAATTTCTGGATACATTTATAAATGTATCAAATATAATTATATGTTTAAAATGTGTATCAAATATATATATGTCTATTTGATTCTCGATAATCTTTCTCCTTTATCCGAATTTGAGACGGGCGATACAAAGAAGCCAGTAATAGGGTTATTTTACGATTCTCAAGTATTTGGATAGTAACAACTATTCCTAGTTAAGTTACAGAGGTAGATCAAAATAACTACATTTTTTTTTTTGGAAAGGAAAAAAAAAACAGTTTCTTCAATCTGTTGTCTAAGTTTGAACGCAAAAGAGAAAATTTGCAGGAAGTGACTTGAACTTCATGAGGTGAGGTTATACTGAAGCCAGTCCCACATATCCAGCAGTCAAGGCCAAAATGCAAGAAAAAACATATGCACCAGCAACAATGACAGGTTCTTTTACTCCACATAATTCAAGGTGGTGATGTAATGGTGCCATTCGAAACAAGCGGTGTCCAGTTCCTAGGAAGTGTTTCGTTGTCTTGAAGAAGGAAACCTGAGACACAGGTAAGACTGTGTCAGTTGAATCTAAAAAATGTGCAAACATATCGTGGAGATAATTCGATGCAACATTGTTAAGAAATAGGTTAGGACAATCAAGGCAGAGGTTGTATATGAACTAGACATTAATTTCATTTTCACATAGATGCAGCAAAAACTCAACATCAACACAGGTCCAAGAACAAGGACCATCCCAAGCAACCTTAGCTGAACTTACGAGAGTGGAGAAGGCAGCTTGATTAGTTAATTACATTTGCACAGTGAAAGATTCGTAAAGCAATAAGGAAGCAAATTTGAGTAGAGTGATGCAAACTTCTCAAACTACAAAAAACACATTTGTTTCTCCTTAATTCCCTTCATAACTACATCTCTGAAGAGAAGTTCACATGGACGATCAGGTGAAAGCAAGAGAAGGAAAACATATACAATGTAAGAAGCCTAAGTTGCATTGTGAGGTAGGTAGGTTGATAGGGAGGGAAGGGGAACTGACCACATTATTAGAAGTTCAAACTAAAGATGAAAGGGGCTAAAGAGAGCAATGAATTCCACTTCCAAATTCTCAAACACCGACAAGTAGACTATAGAAGCATCTCTATATTGCATAGTTCAAACAAGAAATCCAGAATAGATAAAGTTACCTACAAAAACATATACAGGGTAATCCCATGGGTGGGGGACGACGGTACTCCTACCTCCTAGGGGTAGAACAATTGTTCGCAAAAGACCCTAGGCTCAAGTAAAGCATACCAGAGCAAAGGATAGAGTTACCAGAATGAGAAAAGCTAATAATTTCCTATTTGCAAACAAACTGATAATTATCCAGAATTTTTGAGAAAGAGATAAAGGATTACACTTACAGAATAGTTAACAAGTTACCTGCAGTATAACTGATAGTGCTTCGAGGACAAAAACACCAGATGAGATGAACAATGGAAAGAACATCCCCGTACATGCAGCCATAGAAGCTAGAGCACCCCCTAAGGCTAAAGCTCCTGTATCACCCATAAATATTGATGCTTTGTAGCGGTTGTGCAGAAGAAAACCTGCACAGGCTCCTGCCATAGATGCTCCAAATATGGAAAGCTCTGTTTTGGACATAGAAACCCATACTCAGCAAGAATCATGGACATTCAGAAAATGCAAGTTTCAAGATACAGCTTCTCTAGGAAATTAAAATGAAACCTTTTTTCATCACAAAAATTTGCATGAACACTATTGGACTAAGTAAGACAACGAAGTCAGTACAGTTGAATTGCAATTAACACCACAAGGATCAACAGTTCACGCACTGACCAGAACATATAGGAAGCACTGCAATAGCCATTGCAATGAACGCCAATGTGGCTGTTCCTCCAGCCAATCCGTCGAGACCGTCAGTAAGATTAATTCCATTAGCCATGGAAGCAAAGCAAAACGAAGTTAAAAAAGGATAGAGTCTTCCAAGGCATATGAGCCCAAGAGGCGCGGGTAGGGGAACCACTGTTTTCCTGCATGCACACAGAAGATATGAACCTTAAGTGATACAGAACCAATTTTTTATGATATACCACATTGGATTTAATAACTAGCTGAGAAAGAACAGATTTCTGTCATTATATACTGCCTACAGGAAGCATGTTTGCATCTTCTGTAGCAGAATATCCAAGTGAGCTCTAAGAGTCAAGCAAGGCTATAGGCTTTGAATTCTTTATTCGTTCTTATTTTTGTATTCTAAAGCCGAACTGTAATTTTTTAGAAGATGTGCAAGAAACTGATCTATAAAACAGAATGAAGATTAGTGTTGTATCTAAAACATCCAGCATTTGTATATGCTGCTAGGAAGTCATCAAGATCAGTAATTCCTATCATCCTTTTTTTTTTGGTATAGGTCACCCCTGTCATTCTTATATGCCCCCTGAGTTAGTCGCAACCTTAAGTAAGAGAGTTTTAATCCAACTATGGAATGCTACAAAATTCAAAATGCGGCATTGACCAATTAGAAAATTCAGGATACAAATTTGTTAGGACCAAAGGCAAACTAGGGACTAATCCAGTTCATTAAGAAACATCAATTTGAAGGGTGAGAATACATGAGCTTAAATTTTGTTGATATACTGAATAAGAAAAACTAGTTGTCAATTTAAAATAGATTTGTGAGTTACCATCATAAAAAGGTTGATGAAATTAGTTACAAGAATGTATACATGCTGTAGGGTGACGATATGTCCGACGCATACAGCCAAAAGGAGAAAAATGTCCCAGCAGCAACCTGTGTACCAGAGAGGAGTACCATCAACTCCAGAGAAACAAGAAGCAAAAGTATGATTTGCAAAAAGTACAAAAAAAGGAAAAAAGGCTCACCTCCAACATGATCCGAAATCGAGCAGACAAGCCAACATTATTATTCCTCATACTTATCAAATCATCAAGTAATCCAATTGCTGCAAAAGTTAAAGTTGCTGCAGAAGCTCCAAGAACTTCCAGAGAAGAAAATCCAACAATAATTTCAGCAACAATTACTCCAATTGGAATAAAATACAATCCGCCCATTGTAGCAGTGCCTTTCTTACTAGAGTGCCGAGCAGGCCCCTCCTTCCTGATTACAGAGTGGAGTTTCAAACTACGAAATAACGGGACACAGACATAACCTACACAAGACACTGCCACTGCGGAGATGAGAAAGGGACGCATTAGGTAAAGTGGAGCCAGTGGCAATCTAACAATTTTCCATGCACAGCAATCCACAAGAGACAGAAGCACCGTCGAGAACATTATGAGACCTATGTTGTTTAGAATGCCATATTTTATCCTGCATATATGGGGTTTGAAAGGCACTTAGAGAATGGAGAAATTAAGAAAAACAACCTCCCCAGAGTAATGCTAAACAGACAATCTTCACTCCTTTAAGTTCATCAGTACAATAATTTAATAGCAGCAAAGTATATGGCACATTGAACATATATAAAGATATACAGGTACCAGTTATACTGGTAGAAGTAGATCTACCTTTTTCTCTTGTACGCTCTGCCAAGCATTGTTAGCTGGTGAGTTCTTACGGTGTCGTCAGCAGAATAAAGCTGCTCCTTGGAGGTAGGCAAATCAACATCCGTGATTGGCTGTAGTAAAATATCTCCATCACTGTCTTCACCTTCACTTGATGAGAACCTATATTCAACTGCTCCATTATTATCTCCCCAGTCATGAAACGAAGAGACCCCAACATCCTACATAAGAAAAAAGAAAAAGACATATACAACAGAATGAACTAGTATTAGGTTTGATCCATAGCAGCAGGGTGAAATCTATATAGAATATTGTTTCATTTATCCTCATTCTTGTACACCTCTTTCCTGTTGCCTAAACATATTTTTAGTGGACACCTGACAGGTCTCACTTCAATCTGTCTTAGCAATTAGAATCCTGATAATTCCCATCGAAGAAGAACTCCAATTGAGCATTGTTTTGGTGGATGAATTTTTTGAAAAGGTTTTTCTCGAGGAAAATAGTTTCCTAAGCCAAACTAGTTCTCTTGTTGTCAGTATCTACTCTGTTCTTCATACTTCATAGCACTTGTCCAACCAACATGAAACAATATTTTCATTCCTTGCTACTGGTAATCATCCTCACACCTTTCCTCCCTCCACCAACACGATATTTCACTGACGTAATGTATACACAGAAATGACTTTAAAACATGAATTTTTTAGGTAAAACGTCTTTCATGAAACAAAATTTTCCGATAATGAAATTCTACATCCTACCAAATAGAACAGTAAACTAATAAGTATGTCTAAAATTGGTTTAGAAAATCAGACAGTCTATCTTCTCATAGCTTAAATGAAAAAAGCAGCAATACACAATACGAATAACAACAATAAAAAAAAAAGGTAGCGAAGAATTACATCATCCATTGCTCGAACTTGAAAAAGCCTAGGAGGCAAACAGAACCCATAACGCCTAGCACTTGATCTACGGATCTTTATCAAAAACAAATTGCAACCAAAAACAAAGAGAAAAAGTCAAATTAATCAATAACCCACTTGAAAGGTACGAAAACGATAATAGTATTTTGCAAAGACTATTCACAGTATTACCTTCACAGGAAAATGAGAGCTTAATCGGAGATGATGAAAATTGATCAATAAACGCTGAAATTTCAGATTCAGAGACCCTTTTCGAAATTGAGAAACCCCAAGTCGATAGAAATCAGAATTCAAATCCAAATTTGAACCACAAGATTGAGATCGCATGACTAACATTTTTCAAAGTGTAAAATCAAAAGGATTATCCGATTCACATGAACGTCAACTCCATTAAACAAACATATGTATGAAAATTGGTTTGATTTTGCAGAAAGAGAGAAGAATAAAGGAATATACTGAGTTCAAAGAAGAATGGGGAAAGAGGGAAAAAAATAATCCTCCACCTGACTTCGAATTCCACGGAAGAAAACCTTTCTGGAGTGTGGTGTGTAACGCTCCATTAAAGCGCGTAAGAAACGAATAAAAAATAGAATGTTTTTTTATTTATTAAAAAGAAATAAAATTAAACATTATTAACGGGGTGAAAGTTTAACTAGTCAATCAACTTGGCTATAATAATAGAGAAAAATGAAAAAAAAAAAGATTATACTATAGAAATTCGATCTTTATTAATAAATTATAAATTCAAATAACTAAGGAACGGTGTATATTTTTCTCATGGGATATTTTTTTTGGTGCGATGTGAAAATATGTTTTTTTTTCTTTTCTGGACGCAAATTATAGATTTTGTTTTTTCATGAAAAATTAGAAGTTATTGATTGCTAATCCTTCTCCCTGTCAATTTTATGTGAAGTGGGACTAGACACGAAATTGTTTATGAAAAATTATGATCCTTAAAAAAGTTATGATATTTTTGTGACAATAAATTCTGAGCACTGAAAGTAAAAATAAATTATATATATAAATATAAGGATGCCAAATTTATAAAACAAATTATGTTAAAAATCATTTCAAATAAAACAAACAAAAAAATATAAATATCTCAAAACCATTTGAAGCGTTAGTTAGTGGTCACCGTGACCTAGACAATTGATTCTGCACAAGTAAAGACAGGTGGTATACTTTGAAATTCAATTTATATTTTAATAGAAAGAAAAAAAGGTGATTTTTAGCGCACTAATTCAATTTTAATTTTAAGTAAATTCTTTATTCTCAAACTCGAACCCGAGATCTCTAGGAGAAAGGAATAAAGGATAATCAACCGTCTTCAAACACATTTAGAAAAGACTGAATTTTGAAGGTATTTTTCTCCATCATCAACACAGTAAGGTGCTGTGTTCAGAAAATTGGATTGGATGTATCAAAGTAATTTTAATAAATCACCTTACTTACTACATTGCAAATTTAGGAAACACAGATCAGACGTTAAATCAAGTGGCCAAACAAAAAAAATGGTCTTTAATAACATAATGGCACAATAGTACAATGTTATATACCGCTGTCTCCAGGAACCCACAATTCTATAACACATGAGTACATTTCAAAGCACCAACCATTGAAATTCATCATCCAAGCATTTTTCACATAGCAACACAATCCTCAAAACATAAGATTATATTTGCAGTAAAACACACTTAACAAGACATCATTAGCTTGGAGATGAAGAAAGAGGTCGGCCTCTTCCCATAGCAAATCCTCTGGTTCCATCGGGCATTCTTGGACCAGGAGGAGGTTTTGAGGGTTCAACCAAATGAGTGGACGAAGTAGTTCCATGGCCTGGTGATGTTTAAACAAAAATATCATTAAATTCAAGAGAATAAGGAGAAGCAAGAGGGAGAGAATAAGCAGTTTCCGGAGATCTACCATGTCCATTTGTGCCACGCTTGTTTCTCCTTCCACGGCCTCGATTTCTGGTTGGCACCCTGGGCCCATTTTTCTCCTTTTGTGCATGCTCACCAATGGTCTCCTTTGATAGATGGTCACCCTCCTGAAATGCAAAAAATACATGTATCAACAATATGCAAGAGATATTGATAATGTGATAATGTACTCCACTAATCCTGAAATTTCGCTTTCATTGATCCTTACGAAACCATGAACTGCAGAGTTTTACTATTGCCATCAGTGAACATGGCAGCTAGACAATTATTTGTCTAGTGTACGACATAAGAAGACAGTTCAAGAATGAGTAAAAAGTTGATTGACTTGACAATTGGCACAATCGAAAAGAAACTGGACTGACAATCGAGTGATTGGTGGATAACCATACCACGAACTATAAAGACAGGGAGTAAACAACAAGGTACTGTTTGAACTTTCTTGCATAACGATGACTATAATACTCCTTTCCTAATCAAACAAGTTTGAACATTTATCTCTTTGTTCACCTTTTCATACTTTTTTTAAAGAATAAACACCCTAAATCCATTTGGCAGATGTGTCTCGTGTGAAAGAAAATATTTTGGGAGAATACACAACTTCCCCTCTTGATCCGAATTATCAATAACATATAAAACTTTGCACCTAATATTTCCCCAGACACAGTACTTTCTCAAAATGCGTCTCACACTACCCAGTGTGGTGACTTGATAGACTAGGGGTTTATAAAAGCATTTCAAGTGTTATTTAGACCCACTTTCCTCTGTTCCCCATTATTATTTCCCTCACTCTTTTCCAGCATAAAGGAACTGAGCCCTGAAATACAGATATCTTTAATGATCTTTTTTTACCTCCCTCTCTTTTTTAAGAAAAACTTCCCAAGCCATGACCTAAAATTTTCAACTCAATCCAACCCTTTTCCCTCTCTCAAACCTTGATAAGGCTTTGATGAGGAATTGGAAAAGAACCATAGACGTTGATTGAACCAAAAAATGGAGAGGATAAAGCTTTTTGTTATGTCAGTTGACATTTCCAGCTGGGCTCTTTTTTGGATTTTACAGACTAAGCTTTTGGTCAAGTATTTTGTGAATGAAAAGTGTAAAAAACAAGAAGAGTTAGAGGTGTTAGTGGGATTTTCTACAATGGATGTGAGTGATGTACGAGTAGATGAGATGAAATATGAATTGCCACATTGATGAAAGAGGGAATAGTGAGAAAAGGAGGAAGAAGGGAGTGCACTGGTGGAGTGAGGAGATGATTTTGGGATTCTGTGGTTTCAAGGCGTGATAATGATTGAGGGGGATAGAGTGTTACTGAAATATGCTTCTCGGTGAGCTCCCTAAGAAAAATCTTTGAGAAGAGCAAGGGTGGAGTTATGTTTCATGGGAAGTGTGTCTAAAATGAGGTTGATTCTGTATGTGCCAGTTGCCATATGTGAAGGTATGGAAAATGATTGAGAATATTTTCTCTTTGGGAGAAAGAAATTTTGAATTCTGTTCCAGCCATAACAGCATACAAGATGGCTCTTTAATTATTTTATCAACTTTCAACAACTTCCTGACTTCCATCCATCAGTTTTCATCAACTTTTTTCTTCTTTTGTTATCCACTTCACCCTATTTCTTAAGGTATGTTAATCAAAACTTGGAAAATATCCATAATAAAGTAGGCATTACTCTTCTGTTTTCTAGCCACTAAAGCGAATATACTAAACAACTATATTTAGACATAAATCTAAAGATTGCAAAGTAATAATGATTAACCTCTTCGTCTTGTGAATCAACACGATGCTCACTTGAATTGTGTTCCTCATTAACTGCCGGATCAGATGCTTGGATATTGTTATTCCTATCAGAATCTGGATCTCTCCAACCTTTCTTGCTTTGGCCAGGCTTGTTCTGAAGAGTTAATATAACATGTTATACAAGCATACACCAATGACAATATTATTCGATGATTAAGGAAAGGAAGATAAGGAGACAAAACAAATTACTATTTTCTTGAGAAGCTTGACTCGCAAGCCAAATCTCCAATCCTGTTCATCATTCAAAATGGTCACCTGAAAAGACACCAACAAAATGAACAACAGATTTTATGAAATGACACAGCCAAAATGAATAGGAACCTGTATTAACACTCACAGCTTTTTCAGCAGCTTCCACTGTGTTATATTCCACGAGAGCATGCAACTATAATAAGAAAAAACGAAGAAGAAATAACCAAAGCATACATGAAGAAATAATATAATCCAACCACTTCAAAATTTCTCATATGCTCTTCAATGTGGTTAGATGCAAACTAAACAGCATGGCCAGTCAGATGCCAAACGTGATGATACTTCTCATGAACAACTAGGAAAACCAAAATTCTAAATGTAAGTAAACAGTTTTGAGACCCATCCCATGCTTCACACTAGTCAGGTCTACAGATGCTCTGATGTAGGAGCTGTAATTACATACCTTACCACTGAGCAGCTTCTCTGCAGTTGTGCATTTTCTGGGATCTCTTTCAGTGTGTGGATCACGAATGGTAATATGCTTCACACTAGAAGTTCAAAATAATTCAAGACCATCGTATCTAGGAACATATAATGATAAAAAAGAAAACAGTTTAAGAAAAAAGAAAAAGGCAACATACTTTCCAGCCTGGCCAAATATGCTCCGAAGGTTGTTCACTGAATGATCCTCAGGTAAATTTTCCACCAATACAGTACAAACCTAGAACATGGTAAGTAGAAGAATAAATTCATCCAAACTTTAGTTTAGATTATACTCATCGAGTTCCAGTAGAAGTAGCAATACCTTGGGATCTTTAATCTCACTTAATGGAAGAGGATGAAGTCGCTTCACCTTTCTCCCATCACGGCTTACAACCTCCAGAATAAGAAAAAAAGAACAAAGAGAATGAAAGAAATAACCTAGGAATATTTGCATAAAGACAAAGAAGTTAAAAGGAGTATAAATCAATATTCTTTATAATCAACAAGAAGAATTGGACTTACAAGCAGAGAAGATTCCCTAAGTGCAGCTGCTATTATTGATGTCTCCTTCGTAAGCTTCTTCACTTTTCTGAAAGAGGCAATTACTTTCACAGGGACTGCAAGATAGAGCACAAAGTTGAGATTTTAAGATATAAAGAAGGTAGTGGAGTGCATATGTATAGGAGAGATACTAGAGGATACAAAAATATAGCCCCCCGAAACAGTTACTAAAAGAAGTGAACATAGAGAGGGAGTAGGAAAGATATATAAGGCCAGTACGAGAACCTTCCTCGTCATAAACAAATAAGCTCCAACACTTACCAAATCCTTCCTTGTCTCTGGTCACATACTTCAACAGAAACTTGTCAGTAGGCAAATTTTCATCGCTGAAGTAATACTCAACCTGCAAGAGGCAAAATTTCCTCTAATTTTGAGAACTGGAGAGTGGTCAGAAGCAAAAACTGCCATGTAGTAAAAATTATCTGGTACAGACTTTATTACTAACATCTAGCCATAGATATGGGTAGGGTTTGTGTATACCTAATCCTCCCCATACTCCATTTGTGGGATCTCACTGGTATGTAGTTGTATTTAGGCACTAAAATAGAGCAACAAAGCTATAGATACCAAGGACTAGTAAAAGGCTAGAGTTATCAAAGGTAAATGCTAATACCTGAAGGTTGTATAAAGCAAACGTTATGGTAAGAGAATACCAATGTATGTATGTAAGAAACAAATGCTCATTAACCAAGTCTGTACAACTTCACTTAAGGAAAGGTTTCTGAAATACAAGAGTGAAATCATGCATTTGCCATCCATTCTGATGGATGCAGAAAATCTTTGACAGGTACCACATAGAAGTCTAGAAAACATCAAGAAGTTCCTTTAAAAGTTTCAGCAATATGTTGCTACTACAATAATGAACAGACCTACAATATCTCAAACAAGTTCAGAAAAATTAAATCTTTTTCTCAAGTACTATTCATATAATTAAGAACCACAGGAAGAACTTGATAGGGACATCCGATGATAAAGAAATAAAATCAAAATCAGATTTCGTTTACTACAATCAAATGAGGAAGTCTAAGAACATATGAAACAATTCCCATTTATACCTCCACCTCTTCTACCGTGTATAAGAAACATTTCTAACTTTTAAATAATAATCAGCTAATCCAGTAACCCTAACTTACCAAAACCTACAGAGCAACAATAAAAATCTGCAACCAATCAATCCAATTGAAAATTTTCACTTAAATAAATTTCTGTGCTACCCACTTGTGGGATTACTCTAGGTATGTTGTTCTTGTATACCTACAATTAACCAAATTTCTTAACACCCACCCATTCCAATTGCACAGAATCATCTAACTCAGTCAAGAACTTCGACTTTTTAACCTATAACCCTAAAATTCAAAAATTCACCCAAGAATGAAAAACCCCATTACGTCAATTGATGAAATAAACCAAACCCATAAGAAAAACAATTAAAAAACGAACCTGCTTAACGATCTTGCTACGAAGATCATCGGTGAGTACAGTGGCGGTGACTTGGGCATGGAGTTGATCAGACGGCTCAGAATGATCGTTAATAAAGTGAGACTCCGGCGATCCAACAGGTGAAAAATCTGGATGATCATCATCATCATGGGGAGGAAATGAAGCGGTCTGAGAAGGTATAGGGAGTACTCCTCCACCGTCTGCTTCCATTTTTATTGTTTTAAAGGAGAGGGAGGAGAGAAGATATGGAAAACTGAAAGGTCAAAGAAAAAAAATCATCATTTTTTCCCCTTCTTCCTCCTTCTTCTTCTTCTTCGCTTGATCTCTCGAAAAAGTTTTACTGTAAATAGGCAAGTATATATAGAGAAGATCAATAGAGACGAGAGGTTTTTTTAAGTAAATAATAATAATAATAATAATAATATTTAGTCTATTTTAGTCAATTTAGTCCAGCTTTCAATTATACTACTCTAGAAAAAATAATTAAATTATTTATGATGATTTTTTGAAATAATTATTAGTAATTTAAAAACATATAATTTGAATAATTTTTTCCTACTAATGTACTACACAATATTATATGGAATTTGATTTATTAAAGGTGTACTCTTGCAAGCACTAAGTTATTATAATAGCAATGTAATACTACTTGGTTGGTATTTTGATATCTTAAAAGAAAATTCATAATTAGAAATGCAATTAATCGGTATGATTTTTGTCATTCACATAACTAATATTCTATATTAGTCATCTATATTATAGAAAATAATAATTCAAAAAATTAATTCTTAATTTATAAAATTAAAATAAAATTAATTATTTTTTCTCCATAATCAACCCATACAATTATTCTTTTTAAACCGTAAACAAATTGTAGCATTTCAAAACAACTTATGGGGAAAAATAGTAAAACTATTAGGGGTAGTTTGTTAGGGAGTATTAGGATATATAATTCAAGTATTATGTGTGATATTATTTAGTATTATATTTTATAGGAATCTAGGGTTTAGTATAATCAATTAGTTATACACATTTGGTATTACAGGATGTATAAGTAAATACCTTTCATTTGGTGGTATTAGTTCTAATATCATGGACTAATTTATGTAAAGACAAAAATATCCTTCAAATTCTTTTAATCATTTTGTTTGTTTTTTTATTTTATATTTTATTTTATACTAATAAATTTATTCAAATAATACAAAATTTATTATCTAGATATAATTTTTTGTTTCTAAAATACCCCTAATGTTCATGTATGAATTTAAGAACAATTCATGAGTTAAATATTGTCTCTTAACGAAAGTCTATTAAACATTACACAAGTAGTTAAAAACAAGAGCATAAACATCTCGTCTATATAAATAGTTCAATTTATTTTGCTATATTTATTTATTTTATTTTATGATAAAGAGTACTTTTTAATTTATTCATAAGTTCAATAATTTTTCTGTATAAATTATTATAGTTGTTTGACCTTTTGCGATATTAACTCCAATTTATTAAGATAACAATTATTTACTCTCAAATAATCTAAGTTAGAAAATAGTGAACATGACTATAAGAATTTTATCCTCCTAGCTAGTTAAAAATACTAATCTCTACATTACTAATATCAATATTACTAATCCCTGTATTCTTGATCTTTCTACCAAACGACCCCTTAGTCTTATTTATGACTTTTTACCCGTCAACACCACCCTTAACATCCCCCTTAAAAAAATTAAAATAATTGTTTTATGTTTTTACAAAATATTTTAAATTTTAAAATTTTTATACAAAATTGTGTTTAAACAATATTTAAAAATTTAAAATTTTTAATATTTACACCATCCCTAACCCAGCCATCCCCAACCGCCAACTAAACATGAAAAAATAAATTAAAGATTCACTTATTTTTCAAGAAATGTATAAAAAACATTTTTCTCCATACCAAACAACCGATTATCAGTACTAATTAGGTAAAAAGATTGCATACGACTTCGGTGCATGACTATCGTACTGATAATGAGGTACGTTCCACATAATCACAGTTCTCTTGGTAAAAAATAAACCCACATATACTTGGAGTTCGAAATCATGACCTATTTATCAGACAAATATAATTTTACTATAACTCCAAAGCTTCCGAAAAAGGAAAAAGAAAACCCACCATGGAACAATTTAACATTATTTAACCCAAAGAGGAAAGTACTTTACGTCATATATATGGATTACATAAAACGAGTTAGCAAAATGAGCTCTTTCAGTTAGAAATAAAGTAAAATCAACTCCATGAAGTACAAATTAGAAAAAAGAATTGAAGTTGGATCATGAAAAAATGAATAGATTGAGTTATCAACAAAATGAAAGAAAAAATCCTTTTAGGAGGCAACTGCCAAACTAGTATCCTCACATATGCAAAATAATTGTAAATTTACGTGACATTTGGTAAGTGCAATCAATGGCAACACGAATCCAAAATATAACGAAGTAAGCATACGAAAATGTTAAAGGGGGATTCAACATCTATTTAATATAGAAAAAAATAATCGATGGAATTGTCCAGCGAAGAGTTTAGGGTTTGAAAAAGTTCAGGCAAATCGTCCGGTTTCATACCCTGAGTGCAACATTGTGAACTACCAGGAATGGTTTCTCTACAGGCACCTGAAACTGCCAATTTTCATATATCTTTACAGTAGTATACATTCCTAGTCTCAACACAGAATCGGACAAACAAAGACAGGGCACCTTACCTCTACCTTTGCGGGATAAAGAGGTTGTCTCTCATAGTTAATACTAGTTAGTAGTCATACATCATTATAATTTCAAATATGCAAACAGAGTCAAGTATAACAAATAGATGTGTAGTAGTACTACTATTTGTCATAGCACCACAAAAGATGATGGTGTAAAGGATCCCAAAGATTAACAAAACGAAGCACTTTCAAATTTCAATTGCAAAAATACCAATACATACTACATTGACACGAGAAGACATACATACCTTCTATTTAATACAGCCAACTTTCTTATGCTGGGGCGTCCGATTCTGGACCTCCCTGCTGTAGTACTACATTGGATCCCCATATACGTTGAGTGGAACAGAAAGCTATTCGTCTTAACAAAAAACGAAGACTAACAACCAAAACATAAACCCAAACCCGAACACCTTGACTCTGCTAGACCCAGACAGTTCAACCCTCACATCATCCACAACAGGTCCACAAAGAGAGCTCATATCATCACTTCTTGTATTGTAATAGATACTATAGAACGCTATACGTGTCCTGTCCGCCTTGGCCGTGAAATTCAGGTTAGCATTCTGAAATGAAGAATTGAAATTGGGAGTGTAATGTATGTTTTGGGCTTGATCACCAGCAAAGGCCATGATTGCAAGTGGTTCCTTGCATGAATCCCCTGCATGGCCAAACAAAAATGTCAATCGGTATGGCTTGTTAGGCTTGGTTTCAACCATCTGCGATATAATGCCTTCTTTTCCTGAAAGCAATTCTATTGCTCTCTTCCCTTCTGGAACTGTGAAGTGATATGTATCGATGTATCGAACTGCTCGATTTGACTCAACTATCCAACCAGGGAGCGATGACGTTTCCTCGTCTAGGTTAGTCGGGAGAAGAACACCGAGAGAAGCATTCCTAAACATCCATGGACCTTCTTCAAAGTCTCCATTAACTACGGCATTACCTGTTCCAATAACCAAATTAAATAACAATTACTAGCTTTTATACGTATGTTTCAAATCAAACTATATCCCATAAATTAAAACGAAATACAGTAAATATTTGACCAAAACAGGCTGGAAGTGGGAAAATAGAAATGACCTTACCTTTTGATTTATCTGGAACGAAAAGCTTCTTGATAGCAATATCATCAATAATGGGTCCACAAGTGGGGTCATCTTCCATGCCAGGATTTGTAAAAACGACCCGCACATCATCTTCTTCAGCCTGAAAGGCCCACGCGTAAGAATCCCAGCCCTGAACACTATACAGAGTCTGAAGATCAATGGTCTGTGAGGCAGGAGGAACTGAAACGTTGAGTGACTCTAGCTGAGCGCAAGTGCGAGCCGCGCTGAAAGTGATCGAGTAAATGGAACCTTTCTCTACTTTGAGCTCTTGGCTTATCTCGGCGTCGTTTCCAAGCCGAACTGCGTGTCTACCTTGTGGTACGATGAGGATCATTCCACCCTGTTTTTGCCCGGATTCTACTAACTCTACGGTGCCGTTTGATTTCCAGCTGGGGATTTCAGATGGACCGTCGGAGAATCCATCGCCGGAAGAGAAACCACCTGACGGCGGGGTCTCAAAATTACCGTTAACTAACGGACCTGCAAAATGTAAAGTTGGATTGAAAATTAACGATGTGCTACAAATTATAGAAACACACACTTTAACTAAGCAATTTAATTAACAACCCTTTCACACAGCCAATAATTTTCTTTCGAAAATCTTTCAAAAAATATATATATTGATCTTAAATAACAGTAAAAACTGAGTATCGCCTATCCTAATTGTTTGTTTCACTTCGGTTGTTTATTTTATGGAATCAGGAGCTAATTTTTAGAATTGATTTTTTAAAATAACGTGTCTAAATTAATGCATAGTATTTATATTAATTTTATGAGATATCTATTACATCACGCTAGCAATTAAAATTTTATTCACCTAACATTAGAATATATGAAAAAAATTATCTAAGATTTTATCTGAATTTAAAAGTGAGACATGAATATGTGAATTTCATAAGATAGGTTTTAGAAAAGATTTAAACTAAACGTCCATTGTCTTAAATAATAAAAAAGTAGAACTAAAAGCACCAAATATCAGGATAGGAAAACTATATGAAATAGCAAATAATTAATTTAAATTAAATACTATAATCATAATTTTTTTATTTGTAATTTCCAACGGACATTTCATGTTTTATGTCATTCCACTTGTATACCGAAACAAACAACTAAATTGAATTATACAAATGCAACATAATCATGATTTTTACAGGGTGTCGCAATAACAACTCAGGACGATCAACATCAACAAAATGATTAGTGATACTTAATTACAACTAAATGTTATATTAGTACTATTTACTTAAATACCGTGAGTACTATTTTTTTATTTGCTAATATGTTGCTCTGGTACTTACCAAATTAATTTTGTTTCAGACAGAGATAACAAAATATAACTACAAATATATTATTTGTGATTAAATGTTCATACCAATTTGAGTCTCAAAGCTTAAAATTAGCATACATTTGAAGCTTAAAATGAAGATACAAGATATTATTTACCAGATCTCATACCAAACAGAGGTAAGTTGAAAAAAAAG